TCAACACAATCCCCATTCCCAGACAGGATCCTATGAGAGGTTTTATCTTCATCAGAAGGTAGGTCCTATATCCTTGGTTTTTCTTGCAGTCAGGTAAATCTCCCTGAGTACTAATTAACCAAGGAATCTGATTCTTAAAATAGCTGTCATTATCCTGGCTCTAACCAGCCACAGGATTCAGAATTATCCCTATTTTGATAATTAAGCTTGAGCTGATGACCACAAAACCATTGCTGGATCTGGGACAGATATGGATAACATAGCCGGGGCCCTGGAACTCCAGACTGGCTGGATAGACAGGCTTGCTCTGGTTCTTTTCTTCAGTTTTAAAAATAACATGACTCTACATTTTATGTGACTTAATCTTTTCTTTTCTAAAAATGTTTTAATTTTTCCTTTTTAGTCTTTTTATTTATTTTTATTTTTAAAAATATTTTTTTCCTTTTATTGTATTTATTGAGGTGACACTGGTTAACAAAATTATACAGGTTTCAGGTGCACAATTCCACAACATATTACTTACTAAAGAATCTGCACACTGTATTGTGTGTTGTGTGTTCACCACCCCAAGTCAAGTCTCTGTCCATCAATACTTATCCCCCTATACTCTCCTCCACCTGACTCCCCAGCAGGGAGCGGGTATTTTAGACTTCACTTATACATAATGGTAAGTTTTAACTATACCTAGTAACTAATGAAGGCCACACAGTGCCCACCACAGCATGCATGTGAAAGATACAGAAGTCCCTCTCTGCCCCCATCCCATCCTCAGAAGAGAATGGTGGTTTGTCACAAGAAAGGCAGTAGTAAGCCTGCATTGCTGCTGCAGAGTCCAGTTGTGGACAGAAAGTTAATGGGCGGCAAGGGGGAGGGGCAGGGGAGAGAGAAGAGAAACACTATGTAGCAAAATAATAAACTAATTCAATAAGAATCTTTTGATTGTGGATTATTCAGCATTAAGGTGATATCTAGCAGTCCTGAATTATTCTTCTTCAATTATTCTTACAATTTTGGATCTTATCTGCAGGAAAAATGTGATCCTATTTTAAATTTTGATTAAGTTTTAACTGTAATTTGAGGTAATCTTCCCACTACCTCCTTCCCACCCCCTAGAATATTAATAACTGGCATATTACTTATTAAAGAATCTAGTTGATTAAAAGTGTAAGGAAAAGATAGAAGAGAAAAACACATTTTCAGGTTATTGATTCAGGCTTAAAAGCCTAACAAAAATCTGTAAATAGGTTCAAACAGATGTGGTAGATAAAAATGCAAATACACTTGTGTCTCATTTTATTTTTACTTGTGCATTAAAATTTTGAATATTGTCCACCTCTAAATATATAGTAAATACTACACAAAGTCTTTTCTTAAAACAATATATTCCAGCTACACATTTTTAAAAGTTAAGAAATACCGTTGATGTTCCCATTGCAGAAGATGTGAAATATTTTGGTTTATATGCTGTTAAATCCACTTCTGAGGCTACATCCTTGGGCTCATCATCAAAAGTAGTATCATCTGGTATAAACCTAAGAAATAAACAAGTTTATTTAAACATATGCTGCAATAATAAACAACCACAGTTTAGATTCTCTTCTAATTAGTTGTAGTTTATACATACATACCATATAAAAGTTTCTATAGAACACACATGTAGATGAGGAAAACAATGTTAGAAATAACCTTGGCACAAAATTTCTGTGATTCACAAGCTGTAAGTCTGTAATTCCATTAAATTTAAGTGAACTCTGTGTAGGTAGAAACCCTGCATTAGGAGTTAGTTAATATGAATCAGGTGCAAACACACATGGGTCCCTCATGTTTCAAAAAGACCTAGACTCATGTTAGCGTAGTCATTGCTTTTCTACATATTATTCTGAAGATCAAACAGAATTATTAATGGTTAAGTTTTCTGAATATAAAGTATCGTATACATGAGGTGTTACTGAAAATAAGGAAAAGCTTAAGTTTGATTCTTTAAGACTAAAAAATCCTAACAATCTTATCTTACAATTTTTTTTTCCACAAATAGATAGCTGTTAAATGTAAATTAGCCATTATAATTGTTAGACAATTCTCAGGATTCTGGCCAAGGAATTGGGGGTGCTGGGGAAGCAGAAATAAAGACTCCATGGTAACTGTATTTAGCTTTTGTAACTTACATAGATTTTAATTCCTCAAGAAAAGTATATGCTGCATATTCCATCAGAAATGATTTTTGGGAGGATAGAGAACATCTGTCCAAGATGGTGGTATAGGTAGATATATTTTGCCTCCTTGCACAACCAAAAGGACAGCAACAAATTTGAAAACAAAAATAACCAGAACTGCCAGAAAATCAAACTGTATGGAAGTCGGACAACGAAGGATCTAAAGGTGAAACATTCATTTACACTGGTAGGAGGGGCAGAGCGGACCCATGGCAAGGCAGCGGCTGGAGGATGAGGCAGGTGAGGTGGCGGCTGGTGGACCAGGTAGTCCCATATTTGCATGTGGATAAACCGTGAGGAACAGCTGGGGAGCGAGACAGACCATGCAATCCAGGGTTCCAGTGCAGGAAAAGAAAGCCTCAAAACCTCTGGGGGTAAATACGTGTGGGGGTTGTGGCAGTGGGATAAACTCCGAGCTTCACAGGAGAGTCCGTTGGAGAGACCCACAGGGTCTTAGAATGTACACAAACCCACCCACCTGGGAATCAGCACCAGAAGGGCTGAATTTGCTTGTGAGTAGCAGGAACTGAAAGCTGCCGAGAGCTGAGCAAGTGGCATTGTTCTCTCTCGCACCCCTACCCCACACAGCGTCACAACGCAGTGACTACCTAAGGCTCTGCCCATCCCAACATAACAGGCATGCTGAGACAAAGAAATATGGCCCAAATGAAAGAACAGATCAAAGCTCCAAAAATAGAACTAAGCAACGAACAGATACCAACCTATCAAATGCACTGTTAAAACACTAGTAATCTGTATGCTCATTGAATTGACTGAGCATCGTCACAAAATGGAGACAAAAGTGAAGGCTATACAGAGTGAAATAAAAGAAAACGTACAGGGAACCGACAATAAATGGAAGGACACCGGGTCTCAACTCAACGATTGGGAGCAGAAGAGATAAATATTCAACCAGAACAGAATGAAGAAACAAGAATTCAAAAAAAATGAGGAGAGTCTTAGGAACCTTGGGGCCAACTTGAAACTTTCCAACATCCAAATCATAGGGGTGCCAGAAGGAGAAGAGGAGCAAGAAGTTGAAAACTTATTTGAAAAAATAATGGAGAACTTCCCCAATCTGGCCGAGGAAATAAACTTCCAGGAGATCCAGGAATCTCAGAGAGTACCAAAGAAGTTGGACCCAAGGAAGCACACACCAAGGTGCATCATAATTAAGTTATCCAAGATTAAAGATAAGGAGAGAATCTTAAAAGCAACAAGAGAAAAGGAGACATTTACCTAAAGGAGTTCCCATAAGACTGTCAGCTGATTTCTCAAAAGAAACCTCGCAGGTGAGAAGGGGCTGGCAAGAAGTTTCAAGGTCCTGAAAGACAAGGACCTACATCCAAGATTACTCTATCTAGCAAAGCTATCATTTAGAAAGAAGGGCTGATAAAGTGCTTTCCAGATAAGGTCAATTTAAAGGAGTTCATCATCACTAAACTCTTATTATATGAAATGTTAAAGATTTATCTAAGAAAAAGAAGATCAAAACTATGAACAGTAAAATGACAAGAAACTCACAACTATCAACAACTGAACCTAGAAAAGAGAAACAAAAACAAAAACAAACAACTAGAACAGGAACAGAATCACAGAAGTGGAGCTGTGGGAAAGGGGGAGGTGTGAGAACTGGAGAAAATGTACAGGGAATAGGCAGCATAAATAGTAGGTACAAAACAGGCAGGGGGAGGTTAGGAATAGTATAGGAAATGGAGAATCCAAAGAACTTATATGCATGACCTACAGACATGAACTAAGGGCAGAGGGTGAATGTTGGGGGAAGGGGTGGTGTAGGGGAATAAAGGCGGAAAAAAATGGGACAACTCTAATAGCATACTCAATAAAATATATATTAAAAATGATTTTTGGGGAGAGGAATGGGTAACTAAGATTCAGTACATCTATACAACATCCTCTTCCAACTGTATTTCTGCACACACTTAGTAGAAGAAAAACAAGTATTTTTGTTTTTGAGATTTATATATTCAACTATTACTAATATGCATGCTTCTACATTTTGGGGCAGATGAGAAAAGGTTTCCGTAGATAACAGGATGGCAGTAGAAAACAAAATAAAACAGTGAAGGCAACTTTTTCCATAGTCATTGATCTGATTTTCTAGGCACTGCCAGAGCTTATTCTAACACTGCATGGAAATGTCCCCAAAAGGAAATAGAACAATCTTGAAATGAATATTTAACATCAATTCACAATAACCAGAGTATGCCATTCTAACAAATGTTTGTTAACTACTATTTACACATTCAAAACAAGCACCTCCTACTGACTTGTTAACTTCTTGCTATATACTTAAGGACACTAAAATTCTTACCCCAAAATATCAATTCCAAAATTTTTATTTGTATTTTTCTACCACTTGGAATGCCTTTGAAGTATTAAAGGCATAGTGACTATGAATTGATGCATTTTTATCCAACGCATTTCACTGTAAGAACAAAGCTGCTAACAAACCTGCATACAAAGTAGTGGTTTCTATTGAAAAGTGTCACAGTAGAATGGTTTACTGGGTTCCAAAAGGACTAGGCTATGATAAAATGGTATAGTAGTTCAGCTTCCCATTTCCTTAGAACTGATATTCAAAACCACCTAAGGGTTTTCCGCTCTGGGTCAGGAGTTGGAGCACATGGTGAAAATAATGCCCAAGTCTGAAGACAATGCCAGCAATTCCATTCATTGACCTCCTGAGCAGCACTTAGAACAGTTCTGTCCAACAGAACTTTCTATGACGGTGGCAATTTTCTGTATCTAAGGAAATGGATTTTAAATGAAAAAAATTTTTTTCGTACTCCCCTACTAACACACATTATGCAGTCAAGTTTCCCACGTTTCGGGAAATTGCAAGAGTCAGCACATCTTCAGTGCAACAGATAAGCCTTGCACTGGGAAAACCACCTTTGTAATCGTGGTATCTCCCCTGCCAGCTAAGTATTTTAAAATTTTTAATTAAATAAATTTAAAGAGCCAGATGTGACTAGTGGCTACTATACTGGATAGCACAGATCTAGAGATACCGGTTTATTAGCAAATTCCTTTGCCCCCCACTTTAATAAAATAAAAGTAATTCACCTGGTTCCTAGTTCTAAAAGACAGTTGCAAAGTAATATCTCTACACATAACCCATCATCTTAAAAACACAGCTAACATATTTGAAAGGACATAAATGTGGGGTGGCTCATACAAAATACTTTTATCATTTTCTCATTCCCGTTTTCTTAAGGGTGATTTTCCATAGGACAGAGTTCCTCCAAAAGCAAAAAATCCTCTTTTAAAATATAAAACAGCATGGAGCACTACCAATTCTAACATTTTTCTTCTTGTAACCACATTTACTACAATATTAAATTGGTGAGACATACACTGGATTACCTTAGATCTATAAATGAACAACTACTTTCAAATTCCAGGCCATCACAATCCTCATAAATTTTAGCAGCTGTTTCAGGAGAATCACAGTCTACTACTGCATAATAGTACTTCAGTCTTTTAAATTGATAATCTCTCAATTTTTCTCTAGAGGTCCTAAAAAGGGAAAAAAAAATCACTAAGCTTACTTATACAGAAACACAAATACCTACTTCCCCTTAAAAAATAATGCAATTGTTTCAAGAAAAACATATTACAACCTCCATACCAATCCATCCTTCCTTCATGACTTTGCCTTTATGAATGTTAAAAAACACTTTAGTTCAATTTATTATTTTGATGAGGTACAAAATAGGTATTTTGTTTGGAATTTGATAGCTAGAAAAGGAGAATATAAGAATTACATATGCTTACCTATGATTTTAATTTTTAAGAAGTTAGTTTTTAGGTGTGTGTTAACTTTGGTACCATGTATATACCGTTCTCAAGAAAAACTAATGGACAAGCACTGTATTATAAAATATACTAGGAAAGCATTAGCAATAGTTATGAAGAAATTGTGTTGTCAAGCCATAATGGATATTAAGTTTAATTTCACTTAATTACAACATATTGTTTGAGGGTCGTCATCCGTTCTCTTCAGCCATCAATAATATAGTACTTAACTACCATCTTTATTAAGTATACATATGGCTCCACCTAGTGGTTTAAGAACTGCCTTAATTTTTTTTTCTGTATTACATTACCAAAGAACTTGTTACCAATCTTTTATTTTTGTATTTAATTAGGCAAGTTAGGTAATTTGAATGCAAATAGAGTTTGAATGCCACTTATATGGAAAGCAACATCCCACAAAAAAGGTAATAATTATTTTCATGAATATAGAAATAGAAATATATACACAAAATATTGTTGGAATAGTGTGCCACTTCTGACAGAAGTTTTACTCTACTCTGCAAGCTGTTTTAACTTTCAATGGCATGTGTAACTTTAGTCCTAACTATTAAAGTGACCAGAATTCTGAACTACTAACATGAACTTAAAGGCTTAGTTTTATTATCTATAGTGATTTAATACCAGTCCTTTTCAGGGGCATCTTCAGGAATACTTAATAATTCTACTGGTCCTTGAACTTGCTCTTCCTTCATCCTCTCCTTTCCAAACTCCGAAGGATATATCTAAACACAGAAAAAGATCAATGTAATGAATATTTTCCTTTTCTTTCAACATCTACACCTGCCCAGGTCTGTAACGTGAGGTTACAAATGGACTCAGTGAAAACAGCAAGGATAACTCACTTCCGAACCCTCTATAGGAAGCTAAAGCATTCTGAGGAGTCTCCTTAAAAATAGTCACTCTGGCTGGAGAGTAACGGGACTGTGACTTGGGAACAAAAATAGAACATCTTCATATAGCAACTAGGACAATATGGTACAGGGGTCCAAGGGAAAAATTAAGAAAAGCAAAACAAGATTCTAAGCTTAAGGAACTCAATGCAAATACACACATGAAAAATGACTGGATTAACTAGTTTACATAAAACATACAAAAATGATTAAAGAAATATATACAACATAATGAACAAAAACAATTTGTAATACCCACCTTACCTCTAAGTCATATCATTTATCCAATGCTTTCCCTAAAGACATTCCTTTTAATATTGGGTTGGTTAAAAAGCTCATTTAGTTTTTTTCATACAATGGTTTCAGTGCTTAGTTGTCTTTAACTTCATCACAAACAATTTTGTTAGATTGTATTGTGACAGCTGTCATATAATCATGCATTAAAAAAAACAACTTATCAAAATTGGTGAATTTTTGTGTAGCCATCTTAATATTGAAGGTGGAATAAGATACACAGCATTTTTGGCACATTAAGCTTTATTATACCAAGAAAGGTAACAATGCAACTAAAAAACAAAAAAAGATTTGTGCAGTGTATGGATAAGCTGCTGTGACTGATGGAACGCCATCAAAAGTGGTTTGTGAAGCTTTTTGGTACTATCGACACTTTGGCTAAAAATTCTTTCCTGTGGGGCTGTCTTATGCATTGGAAGATGTTGAGCAGCACCCCTGACCTCTCCCCACTAGGAGCCAATAGCGGGAGATGGCCGACATACTCAAAATATCCAAATCAATAAAGTTATTGGTGAAAATGAAAAATGTGTCCTTTATTTTACGGAAAAAACTACACAGACTTTTTGGCCAACCCAATAGAAAGGGACTGATGACAACCTTACGTAGATTGGATATAGTCTTGGGTATAATAAAAAGGATTCATTCTTATTAGGATTTGGTATTTTTATATCTTGGCTACTTTTGAGAGTGAAGAAATATAATTACATTAATTTGCATTGTCTGATACTACTAGGCTGAAAAAACATTTAACTAATACAATTTTTTTTTGGAATTGTGTGAAATATGCAATTTATCAACTTGGGGATCAGAGTTTCTTTTACTACTTTCAGTTGCATATACTAGTTTTTGATGTAGAATTTAAAAATACAAGCATAATCACCTGTTCATTCTTTGTGCTTTTTAAGTCTAGAAATTTCTACTACCAATCTCCTAAAACATAAAAGTTAACAAAAACAAAATTCTATTTCTGTGGTTTGACTTCTAATTGTTTTCCTTTATTTCATCTAGAGTCTATTTTAGCCTTTTATGAGGTAGGGATCTGAAATAAGTTCTCTATACAAATACTTGTCTCAATATCATGATCTAACTCATCATTTGAAGTCTTCTTTTTATCTATGCAATTCCATTAATTTGTCCCCTTATTTTTACCCAGACCTGTTCATTCTCATAGCATTATAAAATGTTTAGGTATTATAACTGGTAGGGTTCTTTTATACTATTATGATATCTCAAAAATTTATTAGTCATCTTGTTTATTCTTTTAGGTGATTATCAGTATCCTTTTTCTTAACTTGAACTAAATGTTGATTGAAACTACACTAAAACTGTAGAACTAACATCTTTAAATAATAATTATTTTGAGCTGCTTCAGGTGCTGTACTAAATACTCAGCATGAGATCCTTTTCATGCAATCCTTATAACTACACTAGGAAGTAGTGTTGTTATATCTACTTGTCAGATGAGAAACATTTCAGAGGTTAATAAAATGCTCAAGGCCATATAGCATTTATCAGAATCAACATCTGAACCCCAACCTTTCCCCCCAAAACAACAAATAAAAAAGATTTGAAGGTAGGTCTGTCATACTGCAAAGACTGAATTCTTAATCATAATGCTGTCATTCTAAAAATATGGTATTTAAAAATTTAAGTTTTTCAAATTTAACCAGTATTATAGTTTACTTCATATAGGTCATGTGTCTAACGTAATTCCCAAGGATTTTATGTTTTTGATGCTAATAAAAGTAGGATTTTTCTTAATTGGTTAATGCTAGTAACAAAGAATGCAATTTATTTCTTAAATATTTATCATATCCTGTCCCTTTTACTGAGCTTATAATAGCTTCTCCATTTATTTAGGGTTTTAAATTATTTACAATCATAACCCATCAATAATGATTTTATTCTTCCTTTCTAACTTTTATTATTTCTGTTACATCAGTTTTATAACTGTACTAAACAATTTCCATATATTTTCTTTAAAAGAAAAATGATTTAAAAAAATGAAAATGAACTTAAAATGCTCAGAAATATTTACTTCAAAATGAAATCAATTCTCACCTTTACAGAGAATATAACACCTCCTTTAGGTTTAAATGAGTTGAATAGAGCAAGCAAATCTTTTGCCTTTAATCTATCCCAGTCCATGTTGCAAACTGCTAATCGATGTGTAATCTAAGAAATGAGAAAAACTTTGAATTACATAATCTGTCGTTCCCAATGCCTGAAAAATAAAGATACTAAAAAAATATAATGCCTCTTTCTCCCAAATTCTGAAATCATCAATGTAGTATTTATCTAAAGAGTCATGTAAAAGAGACCTTTAGATCACCCTATAGTAAAACTGTCAACAGAAAGTAATTCCTCTTGGCAGTTCTTGAATCAAAGCATGATGATGAGCTCATTTTGTAACTACCAAGTCTGTTAAGCTATTTTGCCACCCCTCCATAAAGGAAGTTGGGTTTGGTACCCTGCAACATTTCTAATAAGTGCAATAGGATCTGAATTCAAGTTACTTTCTAAAAATTTATGTGATTTTTAATTATTTATGTAGAACTTCCTTATTTGCTTGAACAGACATCAAATTTATATATTCTGTATCAAGAGGTTTTAATCACAATCATCATCAAGAGTATTATTTAAGCTTTTCCCAGTTAATTTGACATCAGTCCTTACTGTCCATAAAAGCTACTTGTCTCTCCATAAATGATCTCATTTATTCAAAAGATTACCTCATCACCCCGAGGAGCATCTTTATCTAGTTCTCTCCAAGCATGCTCAAAACCAGATTCCTCTGGAAGTAAATCTGCCATATCTTCTTCATCTTCGGAACTAGTTTCTATATTTCCTTTACCTCTTGCAAGATCAGGGCCACTGTCACTTTCATCCTCCTCCTCACTATCATCATTTTCATCTTCCTCTTCCT